ATGATGGGAGACCAGAATCACACTAACAACAAACTTGGAAATATGTGTAGTAAGACCAAGTAGTTCTATCTGAACTCAAACTTTGAGAAACTCAAATGGAGTCATAAATCAACACATGTCGCTTTAGACAAATTATAGTCACTATAAACACTAAACTTCATCAAGGAAATTATCCAAGCATAGGCAAAAACAGACACAATCATGAAATCTTAGTATTGAGAGATGATTAGCTTTATGAGAAAGAAAAAAAAATTGCTTAACTTTAAGTGAAAACAAAACACATATAAGATAACTTCTATATGATGAAAAGATTCATACAACTAGCATCAAATTGGAAACACAATAAAATGGCTAATAACTTCATCTCAAAATTTACATGAATAAATCGATCAAACAATATTCACATGCAACACCAGAAACTACAAGAGGTTAAGGCATAGAATTAGTAAGTAATCTTAACAGCTACAAACTAGATTAAATAGGAAGTTATAACAGACTTAAATTGCTAGTTGAAAACTTGATATAACAAAACGATAAAGAAGACTGCCGAAATCGCAAATAATAGTGACTCAAAACAGAACGATGCAGCTAACATATTCATTGACACCGAAAGAAATATAGATCATCTCAAACGAACTCAAACAGAGATTCAACTTAACATAAAGATACCAAATCGAGTTAATCCATATGACGACTAACACATAATATCGAAGTAGCTTCACTGATGCTTGAGAGCACATTAGGCACGAGAGTCAAAGCAAGACGAATATGTAATTCGAAACAACACGAAAGATAAACTTAAACAACTACAATCTGTTTTGAACATCTAATTGAGGCAAAGCATGAATAACACAATTATCACCCACAAATTCTAGCAGCAAAGGTAATAAACGATGACCATTCATATTCGATCCAAGTGAGAATGAAGCCGAGGAAGACACAACAGAGACAAGTTCATCACATAATACTCGGAATCGAAATGAAAAGTCAACAAAGAAGTAGATATTACCTTTTAGTGGGCAGAGAACTGAGACAACGAGTGAAGTGCGCACCCCACCAACAGATGAGTAAAACAATTTGAAAGAAGATCGAAAATCTTAGGCTAAAACCTTCGTGGGTTCAATTTCGAAGAATACTATTCTCCAACCTTCAAATTCTAATTCATTTGTCCTGTCCGTCTAAATGGCACTAATATCATGTATTTATAGCAAAAAATAAAGTTTTGAATTCAAATAGCCATTTGAGCGGGAGATGAGAGATTGATTGGAGAGAATGGAAGGAAAAACAAGCAAGATGAGAACCTACTCGAAAAATCTGGATTCGATGTGATATTTCTTGATCCGCATCAAATTTAGGTGAGATTTCTCTCGGCCAAAGTCAACAAACCTTGTTTCGAGGTCTGTAATCTTTGAAAAATAAGGAGAGGAACTGACAGGGGTGCTGGGCGGATGAAGAAATTAGGGTTCTTTCTTGACTATAGCGTTTTAGGAAGAAGAAAGGGGAGCAGAGGCGCGCGTGAGGGTTTGGAAAGGAGAAAGAGAGCGTTTGAGCGTGGAATATAGGATATATACATATGTGTGTGTATGTAAATATATGTACACGTGTACAAGTTTTACGAACAAAAGGATGGCCCTTTTTTATTTAAAATTTGGCCACTTTAATTGCTATTCTAACCGAATTAAACTTAAATATAGCCAAATTGAGTCAAATAACTAATTCAGCCAAAATTAAAATAAGATGAATAATTATCGATTAATTACCTGAGCTTCTTAATTTAAACAAGACAAAATAATTATCAAGACTTATTCATTACTTAAAATAGAGAACTAATTATACAAAATTATAAAATTCACTAATTCGAAGAAATAAATGCGTAATTATGCTAAACATTATTTTTAGGCTATTTATTAAATATTTTTATAAAAGGTGAAAATTATATTAACCAATATGTAAAATTATATAATTATTTTAAAAAAATACTAACCAAAACTAATTAGAAAGAGATTTTAAAAAATATATTTTTAGGATTTTTCAAAGATGATTATTTCAAATTGTTTGAAATTGAAGAAGCTGGATAGTTAACTCGAATTGCATAGGGTCAAAATTGGGTGTCAACAACTGCCCCATTATTTGCATAGGGTCGATGAAAGAGAACTTGGGCAAAGAAGATTGACGAATCTAATTTTGACTGAACCCACTTTCATCTCTTTAAAAGAAAGGCTCGATATGGATTTTTCAGGAATTATGGCCGGACCCTAACATTGAGTTTCCTACACATCTCAAGTTACATGATAATTCAGGCCACTTGTAGTTCGATACACTTGATTTGACGCATGATTATGAAAGAATTTGAAAGCTATTCCGATATCGAATTATGAAGAGATCGAAATGCTTGGAAATAATATTTAAGAGAGAATATCGTAATACAACCGAGTTTTCAACATTGAACCCACCTACATATCCTTCAACTCAAGGAATCAGGTTGTTTGTAGTTCGACTCGATCAGTTGAAAAGGAAATCTATTATGCTAGATAACATTTGGTTCTGGAGGAGTGAAAAGTACGTCGAGTATGAAAAAGAAGCTTCCAACCTCTTAGCCATGAATGTGGTGCACTTCACACCTATAATTAAGAACTTACACGAACATACTTTCCAAAGCTCTTTGTGTATTGTCACTCAGATTGGAAAGTTGCCTTCGGTGAGAGTGAAAAGTTTTTTGGATGCGAAAGTGAAACCGATAAACCCAAAGAAAAACCCACATGCCTTCTGATAGGGGTGTGGTTTGATTGTGGTGAAAGTTGCTCCTCAACTTGCGTCCTAAGAGTTTGATAATCCTCTTATGTCCCAGTTCGCTGCTAAGAAAAGTTCCACGTTGTGATGCATCCTTTTTTATGTCGTCCGCACTTGTGGTTTGATTTGAGAATTCATCCTCTTGGATACTCTCGGCAAAGAGTGAAATAAACTTGTTAGTAGAAACTATAATTTATATAGAGAAGTGGCATGTTTTACCGTATTCATCACCTTTTTTGTTGCAAATATTCTGACGTCAACCTCTGTTGGTTTTGACGCAATAGATGATGAATTGATGTGATGCTACAATGATGATGACTTTCTCGATAATGCAGTATTGTTGATGACGATGATGATCCCTCGGTAGAATGATGTTGATCCATTGGTAAGGCAGTGGTGCTTCATTGGTAGGATGATGATGTTGATCCTTTCAGCAATTATATTATCACCTTTGATAATATAATACGGATGGCCCTCTCGGTGATTTGAGAATGCAATGGCCCTCTTGGTATTGGAAGATGCAATGTCTCTCTTGGCATTTTGAATATGTAATGGCCCTCTTGGCAATTGAAGGTGCAATGTCCCTTTTGGCATTTGCATATATGATGGCTCTCTCGGCAGTTTGAAAATTCAATGACCCTTTTGGCATTTGCATATATGATGGCCCTCTCGGCGGTTTGAAAATGCAATGGTCTTCTCGACATTGGAAGATGTGATGTCCCTCTTGGCAGTTTGAATGTGTAATGGCCCTCTTGGCAATGAAATCACCACCTTCGATGATATGATATGAAATGGCCTTTCGGCAATGATATTACCACCTTTGGTAATATGATATGAAATGGCCTTTCGGCAATGCACATCACCGTGTCTGGTATGGATGTGACATACAAATATCCTTCAACGTTAGCCTTTTCCGACTTTAACGTGATAATGAATATTTTTTGGCAAGTTGCACTTCAAATTCTCTTCGATATTTGATGTGTCTTACGTGTTCCCTTCAGACGTCTTTGACGCTGGAAAATGCAATATGACATTATTATAGTCATTTGTAAATCTTAAAGTGCCATCCTCTTGATGCTTCACCTACTTTTCTTTGACCACTTGAATCTTCGTTGTGGTTAATATTTTTGTTGAGAAATATGAACAAGAAATTGTTATTCAAAATACCAAGTTAACTATTTCTTATCGCAGGAATATCAATGCCTTTCCTGCATAAAGAAAATGTCAGTCTTAGGCGCTTTTGCTCTTGTGACTTTCCCATATTTGTTGAACATAATCATCTCTTGATATCCTTGTAATCCTGCATCCACAGAAAATTTATTAGTTTTAAATGAACTAATCTATGTTGACTTCTTTGATTGCTTGTTCTTCCTCTTGCTATATTTGGTTGATTACTTCTAGCTTCCCGCTTCTTGGTAGACATAAGACATAAGATAGATCTATATTTTATACAAAATATTTGATATATGTCTAAAGTTTTAGGAAAAAACAGATTTTTGAAAAGTAATTTGATGAGGGTCACTGCCAAGTGTCATGTCACATTAAAGCTTAAGTGAACACTGAACAGTTCAAGTTTCGATATATCCAATCTAAAAGTTCTTTTAAGCTGGGGAAATATGAAGTTTGACTTTGAATTTCTAAAGTATTAGGGTTCATGAGCTTCTGATCATGCTGGAGATTACTTGTCGTAAACTTTGAACTTCTGATAGTACTTGATAAAATTTTTGAGATCTTCGCAAAAATTTTGCCCCAGTGAAATGTCTTGGCATTTCTCAAGTCTTTGGTAGGAAGACTTGCGGAATTTTTGAGATCTTCTAAAAAATTCTTCCCCAGTTGCCTTTTCCTAATGCATGCTCAATCTTGTCTTGTTGGCGAAGATCTTTAGAAATTTTGTGGTCCTCTCAAGAATTCTGCCCCAGTTTCCATTATAAAGGGAGATGGAAATTTTATGGGGTGTACGACCGAGCCGTTGTGGAGCCTACGTATCCTGTTGAGGCAGGAATTAGGTTAAACGTAGTTCCCCTTTTGGGAATAAAAGAAATAGGAAATTTTAATAAGAAAATGACAGAGGCCGACATAGGCCGCCTACGTATCTCATTTTTGAGAATTCAGGTCAGACGTAGTTCAATACAAGGATATAAGAACTTGACATAAGCAATTACAAGCAAATGATACGATTACAAAGAAAGTGATGAGAGAAAAACTAATCTTCAGACGTGGTATCTCTTGACAACATCCGAGTTGATTGGTTTTGGCCACTCCTGGCCATCCAACTCTGACAGGATCAAGGCACCTCCAGATAACACTTTACGAACCATGTATGGTCCTTGCCAATTTGGTGCAAATTTTCCCTTATACTCATCTTGATGGGGGAAGATGTGTTTGAGGACCAATTGTCCTTCTTCAAATGTTCGAGATCGCACTTTTTTGTTGAAAGAACGAATCATTCCCTGTTGATATAATTGGCCATGACAAACAACGGTCATCCTCTTTTCATCAATTAAGGCTAAGTGTTCAATCCGATTACGAACCCAATCAACATTACTCAGTTCGACTTCTTGAATAATCCTCAATGAAGGTATTTCAACTTCAGCAGGAATCACTGCTTCTGTCCCATATACTAGCAAGTATGGAGTTGCTACGATTGATGTTCTAACAATTGTTCGGTATCCCAACAAAGCATATGGTAACATCTCATGCCAACCTCTGTAATTATCAATAATCTTTCTCAAAATCTTTTTGATGTTCTTATTGGCAGCTTCTACGGCTCCATTCATTTGAGGATGATAAGCAGTCGAATTTCGGTGAGTAATCTTGAATTGCTCACATATCTCCTTCATCAAATGACTGTTGCGGTTTGCACCATTGTCTGTAATAATGGAATCAGGTATTCCAAATCGACATATCAAGTTGTTACGAACGAAATCAACTACTACCTTCTTCGTCACAGATTTATAAGAATTTTCTTCCACCCACTTAGTGAAGTCATCAATGGCAACCAAAATAAATTTATGTCCATTAGAGGCAGCTAGCTCAATTGGGCCAATGACATCCATGCCCCAGGCCACGAACGGCCAAGGCGATGCCATAATTTTAAGTTCGTGAGGGGGTACTCAGATCAAATCACCATGCACTTGACATTTATGACACTTTGCACAAATCTACAACAATTATGCTCCATAGTCATCCAAAAATAACCAGCTCGAAGGATCTTCTTTGCCAAGGTAATCCTGTTCATATGAGGTCCACATACTCCAGCATGAACCTCCTCGAGAAGTCTTGTAGCTTCCATGGAATCTACGCACCTGAGGAGTCCCAAATCTGGTGTCCTCCTATAAAGGATTTCCCCACTTGGAAAGAAATTGTTAGTCAATCGACGTATTGCCTTATTTTGATTGGATGTCGCATCTTCCAGATAAAATCTAGTCTCCAGGTACTTCTTTATATCATAATACCAAGGCTTTCCGTCTGGTTCCGCTTCGACATGTGAACAATGAGCGAGTTGTTCCTTTAACTCTACCTCCAAAGGATCAATGTAATTCTAATCTGTATGCTTGATCATAAAGAAGATAGTGGCAAGAGCGTCGGCAAATTCATTTTGCAACCTTGGAGTGTGCATAAACTATATCTTTCGAAATCTTTTGCACAATCTTTGCACCAGCTGTACATATGGTACAATCTTTGGATTCTTTACTACCCATTCCCCTTGAACCTGGTGAATTAACAAGTTTGAATCTCCAATTACCGGCAACTCTTGGACATTCATGTCAATGGCTAATATTATGCCAAGAACGCAAGCCTCGTACTCTACCATATTATTGGTGCAATGGAATCAAAGTTTAGCCGCCACAGGGTAATGCTGACTAGATTACGATATTAAAACCACTCCAATTCCAGCTCCATTATAATTCACCGCTCCATCAAAGAATACCCTCCAACCAGGGTGGCTTAGAAATGCTTTCTCCTATGAACAACACATCTTCGTCAGGAAAGTATGTTTTGAGCGGTTAATATTCTTCATCGATCAGATTTTCTGCGAGGTGATCGGAAAGGGCTTGTCCTTTTACCGCTTTCTGAGTAAAATACACAATGTCAAACTCACTCAGAAGCATTTGCCATTTTGCCAATTTTCCAATTGGCATAGCTTTCTGGAAAATATACTTCAATGGATCCATCTTGGAAATAAGATATGTAGTATATGAAGACAAATAATGCCTCGGCTTTTGGACGATCCAAGTCAAAGTACATCATGTTCTTTCCAATAGAGTGTACTGAGCCTCATATGGAGTAAACTTCTTGTTAAGATAGTAGATCGCGCGTTCCTTCTTTTCAGTTTCATCATGTTGTCCTAATACACACCCGAATGCACTTTGAGACAGACAATTAAAGTAACAATGGACTTTCTTCTCGCAGAGGTATCAATATTGGTGGATTTGTCAAATAATCTCTGATGGTATCGAAAGCTTTTTGACACTCTTCGGTCCACACCGTCATTTCATCTTTTTTCAACAACTTAAAGATAGTCTCGCAAACTACCGTGGATTGAGCTATGAATCGACTGATGTAAATCAATCTTCCAAGGAAACTCATAACTTCTTTCTTAGACTTCGAAGGCGGTAAATCCTGAATCGCCATGACTTTGGTAGGATCAAGCTCAATGCCTCTTCTATTAACTATGAAACCCAATAATTTACCAGTGGATACTCCAAAAGCACATTTAGCGGGATTCATCTTCAAGTTGTATTGACGCAATCGATCAAAGAACTTTCTCAAATGGGTCAAGTGATCTGAACTCTTGCAGGACTTGATGATTACATCATCCACATACACTTCAATCACCTTATGGATCATATCATGGAAGATAGTTGTCATGGTTCTCATGTATGTGGCTCCGGCATTCTTAAGACCAAATGGCATTACTCGTTAATGATAAATACCTCAAGGTGTAATGAAAGTTGTCTTTTCAGCATCCTTTTCGTCCATCAAAAATTGATGATAACTCGCAAAGCAATCCACAAATGATTGCATTTCATTCTTAGCACAATTGTCGATAAGAATGTGGATATTCGGCAATGGAAAATTGTCTTTGGGACTAGCTTTATTAAGATCTCTATAATCAACACATATTCTAATTTTACCATCTTTCTTAAGCACTGGAACAATATTGGCTAACCAAGTTGCATATTTAGTAACCTCCACAACTTTGGTTTGAATCTGTTTGGTAACTTCTTCTTTGATTCTCAAACTCAAATCTAGCTTGAACTTCCGAGTTTTCTGCTTTACCAGACCGAAATCTGGATTGATCGGCAACTTGTGAGAAACAATATATGTGCTCAATCCGGGCATATCATTATAGGACCAAGCAAATACGGTGATGTACTGCTTAAGCAAACTGATGAAATCTTCTTTCTGAGTTTCTGTGAGATAGACACTGATCCTAGTTTCTTTAACACCTTCTTCGTCTCACAGTCTCAGTCTCCTTTAAGTTTGGCTTCTCTTGATTCTCAAACTGTTTCAATTCTTCTGCGAGGTGTTCCAGAACCATGGTCTCTTCATCATATTCCTCGAACTCATTCTCATCTATCTCATTTTGCTCACTCAGCATATGACATGACATGATATTGGCGGGTTTTGAGTTATTTTTACTAAAATCATAAATAAGCCATGCCAGATAAAAAAAATTAAAACAAATTAGTAAGCAGTGAATAAATAGATTTAAGCAATAGAGAAGGTTTTGATTTAGATTAAAAGAAAGTACAAACTTTGGCCATGACCATAGGCCAATCTGCCTTTTGAAACATCACGAGGGAAATTAAAGCTTAAAGAGGTAAAACGACATAAAGGGTGGGTCTTACGCCTCATTCAGACTACCACCGATTTTAGAAATAAGCAAGATAGATATGTCTTTGTCTACCAACACGAGTGAGGAACCAGGAGTTGTGTGGATGTCCAATTAGGGACTTGCTCTTCTGGCTTGGCATCTCGAATGCCAGATGTCTCGATTATCTCCTCAAGTACAACATCAGATTCTTCAAAAAGATTCATGATTCCTTCCCCGAGGCCATCATCATTGACATATTCTCGCACTAAAAAAGGCTGGTACAAGTGAGGTACTGGTTTTGCTAATTCCCAATCAACCCTTTTGTTACTTGAAGCTTCCATCTCATCATTTGTTATTTGGATGTATCCCAAGCCAAACCTTGAACGTTTTGTGAAAATTTGAATAGGTTGAGTGCTACCTTACAAATATTTTCCTAACCCAAAATCAGGTTCAAATCCATTTCTCAGCATCAAAGTGGCTATAATCTTGTAAACGGAAGGCATAGGAGGATGTGAGGCCAAATCATCACCAGTAGCATTCACTATCTCTACTCATCAATAATGCCCACACAGAAATTTGAGCAGGTGTCTTCTCCAAATGTTTCATGATGGAATACTATTTAGGTTGCATTCTTCACCAAAACTCTTCAGCTTCAGCTTCACTGATCGGCCTTTTTTGGTGGTCTCTCTTATGGCCTCCTTGAGCCAATTCTTCCGGTGTATAACATCTACCAGATCTAGTCATACCATGAGCGGTAGTGGTCTCGATCACAAACTCTTTCTTGGTAAGGCATTCTTTTGGCACTGAAGTAAAATCTTGATGAGGTGCCATTATTACAAACTCTTTCTCAGTAAGGCCCTTCTTTTGCCCCAAAGTAAAAGCTTGATATGGTGTCATTATCACAAACTCGGGCTTATTGCTTATGCTTAGAAAGGCTACAACTTTCTCAAGACTATAAAGACTTTATGGGATTATTATCTTAGTAGCACCCCAATCCTCTTCTATTTCAATCATATGAATAACATCTCCCCCATGATTCGATAGAGGATTAATATGCACATTATGAGAGGCAGTCTGAAGGGTGACCATATTGTGATCAATTAAGTCTTGAATCTTATGCTTCAGGTTAATGTAATCTTTGCTGGATGTCCTGCACTATTAGAGTGGTATGCACATATCTGATCAGCTCTAAAGAATTTAGAGTTTGTGTTGACAGGTTTAGGTTTGATGGGATGAAGCATGCCTGCAGCTTCCAATCTTTCGAACAACTTAGTTCGACTTTCAATAAGAGGAGTGAAAATTCTAGGAGGTTTTCTTTCAAAGTTTGGACGAGGAAGGTCATAGTTATTTTATGGAGGTGGAGGTACCTGATGGTATTTTAAAGGATTTTGGCGGGGAGGTGTTGGTGCTTGGAATTTTGGGTATGGTTGAGTTTGGTAATTTGATTGTGGAGTCTGATAGTTTGGAGGGGTATTTTGGCAATGTGGAGCTGGGAGATTAGGAGGCGGAGTTTGGAAATTTGGAAATTTGGTTGGACATAGAAGATTGGGTAGGGATTTTGTGGAGTTGTGGGATAGACTTTGGAAGGTGAAGATTTTCTAGAGCTAAACCCGAACGATCTTTTTGTCCTTTCATCAGATGCATGAGAAATAAAGGGCATATCCTCTCTTTTCTTCCTCAATAGTCCCGAAGATCCAGCTTGGGCCACCACACGGGCAATCTTTCCGATCTTAAGACCATGTTCAATGGTCTCACCTACTTTGACTATCTCAGCAAATTTTGCTCCAATGAGCAGCATCATTCTATCATAGTATTCTGGCTCTTGGATATGCACAAATACTTCAGTAATCTCCTTTTCAGACATGGGAGGTTTAACTCTGGCAACCTTTTTTCTCCACCTGTATACATATTCACGGTAGTTTTCGGTGGATTTTTCCCTAATATTTTCCAAAGAGTATCGATCTGGAACGATCTCTACATTATAAGAAAATCTCTCAATAAAATCTTTAGCTAGAGCATTCCAACTAGGCCATTGTTTTATGTCTTGGGAGGCGAACCATTCTAAGGTCTCCCCATTGAAACTTCGGCTGAAGGGCCGCATCAACAATGCTTTTTCGCAACTCTTACGAGCTGGTCACAATACACCCTTAAATGAGCTAAGGGGTTCTGAGTTCCTCCAAAAGTGTCAAACTTTGGTACATTAAACCCCTCGGGAAGGTCGAAGTTTGGATGGATACACAAGTCTTCGTAGTTTAGCCCCATAACGTC